TGTCTCTTAAAAAATGTATTTGCTATGAGTAAGTCATTGATTGAGCAAAATTCGATCATTCTCTTTCCAGCTCATTTCTGTCACCGAGTCCATCTTTTCCAACTACTGAATCTTCTTCTTTGTTCCCGACTTTTCATTCTAGTCTCCCATTATTATCAATGCATCTTGATTGCATGTTTGATCAATCTCTGATTGTAAAAGTTGGTAAAAATCTTCTATCTCCTCTTCTTTGGCTCTGGTTGGGAAATCACAGGGACACGGTGGTTAGAAGGAGGAAGTGAGGGGAATTAGTAGAGATCTAGTGGGGACTTGAAAAAGCAGGGTGATATTGAGCATAGATCAATGGTGATTAATTTTATAAAACACGATATATAGGAGTGATCATATGAAAAAGAATGTGAAAGAAGGAATATGTGAAACACAATGTACATGAATTAAACAACACATATATGAATTTTTTATGTAAATCAATATAAAATTTTTGAAAAATTACATGAGACAAATACAGCAAACTTTAAGCTATTTTATCCTCAGTGAGGAAACACCTGAGTAAAGCAAACAGTTAATATGTTTGCTACTAAGCCAAAGTTTGAGGTTTCAAGTCCACAAAGATGTGCCTCTGCAGAAAGACTTCTGATCAACTTCTGAAAAACAAGCCACTGAAAGCCATATTGTGCACAGTTCTACTCATGTGATCATCGTGAGGTGGAATTAACTAGATGATAACTAGTTTGAGGTTTTTTTGTATGCACAATGAATACATAAGGCACCAGGTTTTGTCATTGTTCGGTATAATTTTAAAACATACCTTGCTCTTTTACAGATTTGATAAAAAAGCTTTGTTAAACTAAAAGAAAAATAAAAGGAGACTTGGTGGTCTAGTGGGTAAGAAGTTGCACTGCTAACTAAAAGGCAGGCAGTTCAAACCCACCAGCTGTTCCACAGGAGAAAGATAGGCAATCTCCTCCTGTGTGATTACAGCCCCTGAAAACGCACTGGAGGGTCTTCAATGAGTCACATCCACGAGAATCACATAACAACAACAACAAAAGGGGCAAAGTCCACCTGAGAAGCTACTTAAACAAAGTTATCAACATGAGTCAAGGCACTACCTGAAAATGAGAGACTTTATGTTCCTCAAAAGTTACTCTAATAATAATAATAATAATGCTTTGTAAATAGAATACACAAAAAAATCTTCTACAGGAACACATATATTAAGAAAAAAACAACAACAAAGGAACAACCACATACACAACAAAGCAATTAGTCCTACTTCACAACAGACTTTATTAAAGCTCTGGTCTTCAACCCTACTTGCATATTAAAATTACCTGAGAAACTTTTAAAACTA